GGGGGGGGGGGGGGAGGATATAGTGAGTTTATGGTTGAATTATGGTCTTTGGCTTGATGTTGTGAGTTTATGTTTGAATTCTGTGCTAGAAGTTTGATCTTATTGATTCAATCAATCCAAAACTGTTGTTGTTAATATAGGTCTCCCAATTCGTTCTCTTGTGTTATCGAGTGATTTGACTCTCTCTGTGTTACTGGAATAGAATAGGTTTGAACAGGGGAAATATAGTGGATATATATTTGCTGAACCCAACTACTTCGGGATTGAGGCATTGATTGATACTAAGAATCAGATCCAAGTGTCGATAATGATCCTATGAGTTTGCAGCAATTACCCTAGACGATTTTCAACAGTTGATTTTGTGTTTTCTCGCATAGAGCAATCACTTAGTGAGAGGGCATTGCACCCTGAAGAAGTGAGATCTCCTTCTCCATGATGAATATCGTAACTGAACAAATTTATGTGTGCAAGCTCTTCTGCTTAGATGCAGAAAGGAAAATCTGTAGGTTGTCTTTTTCCCTTTTGAAATTTCTTGAGAGTATTGAAGATTCATTTCCTTCCTGTTCCTTTTTTAGTCTTGCAATACTGTCAGGGCGAAATGCAAAAATGGTGGAGGAAGATAATACAGGAGGAGAATGTGTTATATATTAGACGTTTTAGGACCTGTCGGCTGTCCATGTTAGGAGGGAGAATTGAAGTTATCTTAAAAGATTCAGAATATCTCGGAATCCAGGAAAATCTGGCAAAAGATAGAAAAACAACGGAAGTTGAATATTGATATTGGTGATACCAACTAGAACTAGTGCTTATTAGGCCTCATTTATTTGCACTTAATGGAAGTTTGAATCTTAATCATTCAGATCTCACACATTAAGTGTGTTTGTTTTTAAAGTCTGAATCTTAATCATTAGATTTGTTTGTTTTTTTACTTCACAACCACTTAGTGAGTCTTAACACGTCTGTATGATTAAGATCTATAATAAAGACTTAATAAAAGGCTCTTTGTGTAATAGCGATTTAACTAATAAGTACGTTAGAGAACCCCAGTGTTAGATAATTCTTAAGTACAGATTGAAATATTATGGACCCACATAGAGCATTTATGATTTATGATATTGTGGATTCATATAGCCAACTAGCATGGGATTGAGGTGTAGTTGTTAACTTGTTATTGTTGTAAGATGGGAGTTTTACTTTATTCTTTGTTCTCTGTTTTGAATATTTCTTGACATAACAGGCTGCAGTATTTGTCTACTCTCTGTTTGGTTCATAACTTTGTATTTCCTCTTTGTTTACCCCTCTCCTTATCCACTCTCTATTGTGATTACTTGCATCTTGTGTCACTAAAAAGGGTCGCCCGGTGCACTAAGCTCCCGCTATGTGCAGGGTCCGGGTAAGGGCCGGACCGCAAGGGTCTATTGTGCGCAGCCTTACCCTGCATTTCTACAAGAGGCTATTTCCACGGCTCGAACCCGTACCTCCTGGTCACATGGCAACAACTTTACTAGTTACGCCAAGGCTCCCCTTATGTGTCACTAGATAATCAAATTGACACATTCAAGCCTTTTTCCTCATAATAATGCAATTATGTTGTGATATGACAGGTTTCTTGATTCAAAGGTTGTGCATATATGGATCACCAAACTGGTGAATCAGTGGATGCTATGTATTCAGCTGATATGAATTGTGAGCATGGCGATTTTGAATGCAATATCTGCTTTGAAATAGCTCAAGATCCTATTGTGACTCTTTGCGGCCACCTTTATTGTTGGCCTTGTCTTTGTGAATGGTTGCAAGTTCATTCACATTCTCACGAATGCCCTGTTTGTAAGGCTCTCATAGAAGAGCAGAAGTTGGTTCCAATATATGGCCGAGGTAAGGCAAGCTCTGACCCAAGGTCACGTGTACGTCCTAGGACGAACATCCCTAACCGTCCAGT